TACATGCACACCTGAATGTACAATCTAGGGATTTTATTCTTGGTGAAGAATTAACAAGCCCTAATATAAATATATAATATCATCTTGTAAAACATTAAATAAGTTTTGTAAATAATTAATTAACTAACTAACATAATAAAAAATAGAAAAATCAACTACCAGTAATCTTATTAATAGTACAACCCTTCCAATTTTGAATGTAGATAACACTTTTGCAAACTCTGTACTTTGTATATGAATTTGTGTGGGCATTGATTCAAAGTTTACTGAATATATATAGCGTACCTTTTTGAATTCTCGATCAATGTTGATATCAAATTTACACAAAAACAAATATAACACAAAATATATGCAACCTACAGCTGGTACTATTCAGTTATCTTGGTATCAAACACAATATTTCTGGAAAAGTTCCATCACAATATAGTACAATATATTTATAGTCCACAGCTTGCATTCTCAACTCAAATATCATTGATATCAAACATGATGTTTATCTAAAAGTTCCTTCCAACATGAGGTCTGACTACAAAATCACCGCTGAGCCCCTTGAGATGAACCTTACTTCTGATATGAATATAAATCTTAATTGAAGTACAATGTACTTGTAGCAACCTGATCATTTAAGGTTTCCCTGTGCTTTATTTTAAACACAACCTATCATATTTTTTTTTATTTAACACTGCATTGTTGTTCTAAAAATGAGTATTTTGTTGGATATAACTTACCACAACTAGCAGATGTATAATATAAAAAAAAAAACACCAAGGAACACATAAAACTCCACTACCTGATAACACCAATATCATAGGACTTACTTCAGGAAACATTTCTTTATATTTCCCATTACTTGGGCAGTAAATATATTATTATATCAATGATAAATACAGACAGACCTGCTGGTAAAAGTTAGTAAGAGGGAATTACAAATGATGGTCTTTTAAGACAGGTGAGACAGAGATTAAAAAGCAATAAGCCACCACCCCTAGTGAAAAAAGATTTACCAAAAGTAGGGAGGGGCATCCCCCCTGTTCACAAATGTCTGCCATCTTTGATATAACAGTTGTGATGTTTGACTAATATACTTATCATGTACTTTAATACGATTATAAAATTAGGGAGGGGGCTTAATTGCAGGCACCCATCCTGTTCTCAGGACACTTGCCAAAGCGGGGAAGGGGCTTATTTAATTTGGGTCTTAATTGAGATTGAACACAGTAGTATGAATAAATAGCAACTGGATTTATAGCCCGATAAACAAGTACTTTCTATACATGTACTGGCAAACTTAAATGTTTCAAGTTTAAGGACTATCGGGAAATAACACAACATCGAGACGTCAACTGAAGAATTTTTAACTTCTTTCAGATCCAGTACATGTATATACTACCCAAGATTTAGATTGCTAAATGATAGGACACAGGGCCAGAAATTTAATTTGAAATACAAAAATTATTTAAATACAGAATTCGATGAAATAGAAAAATATTTTTCATGTACGCATACACCATATTTTGCTTGTTTAGGTGTTAAAATGACCCCAGGACATTTCAGTGTTCTCGTGCATGTACGTAACTGTTTTACTTTGATTTTTCAGTTGTAATTTTCAATGTTCACTTTACAATCCAACCTTAATTGAGTGCAAAACAGTAAGAAATTTAACTCATAAAAGTTTGATTCATAAACGGAATATCAGTAGAATTATATCAGGAAAAAATGTGTAGTTCAACTCAGAGAAATTGGACTGAATCTTCGAAGTTTGATTTGTGAAAGTTTGTAAATAGTTCACCTTTAGAGATAGGTATTTCCTACACAAAAACGACCTATATTGTACAGGTCTTGTACACACATTTATGTTTTCAGATAATTAACCATACAATGTCTTATGAAAGAGTGCCAACCATTTGTCAAAACTTGGGTCCATACTAAGCCTAAATTATAGTAACATTGCTATAAATTAGTCGAAACCTAAATTTAGCTACACTGTCATGTTATATGAAGATTTTTAAAACCAGATTTTTTTTTTTTTAAAACATGAACATCCATTTAATACCACACAAAATTCTCACAACTTTCATTATCACAGCCATTTTGCGGAACTATTCTATCTTCACAACAAAAGTCAAAGTCAATAACACTATAATAACAGGGTGAAATTCACTTGATTTCTGAAATACATTGAGAAGCTCAAAAGACTAGGGGCATTAAAGGTCATTTCCGGCCTCATCAAGCATTTAGAAAACCCGCATTTTTCATAAATAAATGTGTGAATATCGTCTACAGTGCAATATTTACGTTAAAAATTGGACATTTTGAAGCAAATTAATTAAACACCCTGAACTTGTGAAATCCTTGCCATGCACCAACCAAATAAATATCTGGCATGTTTAACATTGTCATACCAGTGTTCATTCTTAGAAAGATATTTTTGGTTGTCATTCGTGGAGACTGAATGCTAACTGTCCAAAAACACCTTATTTTGTCTTTTTCTGCATAGCAATGCAGTTTTGTTGCTATGGCGAGACATATATGCACGCACAATGAAAAATTCTGCACCAGGAACGATAACCCCCATTAACCATGATGTTTAAAACAAAAAATAGTAAATGAATTCAAGTTGAATTTTTTGGGTTTTATGAGGCCGAAGATGACCCATAACGCCCCAAGTCCTTTGCTATACATTCTATACAGACAATGAAGTTCAAATACTGATTTATGTTGTGATACTGATACTTTCAACCTTGATAAATAACAATCTCTTAAAAAAACTAAGTTCAACAGTTATTACACAACAATTAATCTCCACAGGTGTAGGAATTGATGTAAAGTTATAAACCCTCAGAAACAACATCATATAGTGCATCAATATCATAACAGTGAAACACAGTGACAAGAATTGGCTAAATGTACCAACATCCTGTAAGCCTAACAGAACTTATGATACATAATGTAACTTGGATTTCAATCTCAGCAAAAAATTTAAACAAATAACAAAGTTGAAACTAAGTGTTTCTCAACAATTTTTATAATTAACAAGATGAGAGGGCTGTGTGTCACTTCTGCGTCATAAAACTTAGCTCCTTTAGGACATGAGACTTTATTAGTTACTTTTTATTAGGGTTTTCAACGGTTAGCCGGTTAACCAGTTACTTGGTTGGAAGACCACGAATCGGTAAACAACATCAATAACCGATCAAACAAGACATTTAGTCTCCCTGGCTAAGACCTATAAAATATCTATAGATGAGACCAAAATCGGATAGTTTTGTAATAAAAACAGCTTACATGTTAGTATTGTTTTTGTACTCTATCGTAAATATTGACAAAGAGATGCTGACAACACCATAAAAACTCTGAACAGATTTTAAAAGGAAGCCAGAATACAAAGTTGTGAAATACCAACTTTTAGAGGTAGAATGCACTTTTACATGCAAGATGTACACACTTGAATGAGCAAGCATGTCTCAAAACGTTTGTCGATTAAATTTTGTTTCAAAGAACAGTTTCACCACATATGATTTCGAGTACAGATAATTGTAATTTAATCACGCCTTACTGTATTCCAACATTTGTTGTCCATTAAATATACTTACTGGGGATACATGAAACTATTTCCCACATTAAACTTAAAATATGCGAGTAAACTGTTCTGCTAATTAATATATTTAATATATACAAGTATGTTTGTGGTGTAAATATGTTAAGATAAAACATTTGCTAAACATATAATGTGTTTGTTACTGTTTATTATTTGATTACCAAATTGAACGATTAAGCGGTTACTTGATCAAAATATTGTTCGAGTAACCGGTTTCCAAAATTTGACCGGTTTTACAACCCTACTTTTTATCTGTACTTATTGTTACACTTATATACTCTACAACATCATTTAAGTAAACTTTACCAACATTCTCAGCACTTCCCTTCAAAAATATCTGCTAGAATACATTTGTCACATTTTCTACTTTCAGTATTCCTTAAAATAATGCATTTAAATTTCTTGTCCGGAGCTTTCTTTGAATGGCTTCAGTCTCTGTATTCTGGTCAGTAACCGTTGTTAAGGACCTTCTGGTCAGTAGTTGATGTTAAGGACCCTTTGGTCATTATTTTATGTTAAGGACCTACTGGTCAGTAGTTGATGTTAAGGACATACTGGTCAGTAGTTTAGTTTATGTTAAGGACCTACTGGGCAGTAGTTGATGTTAAGGACCCTTTGGTCATTATTTTATGTTAAGGACCTACTGGTCAGTAGTTTATGTTAAGCACCTACTGGTCAGTAGTTGATGTTAAGGGCCTACTGGTCAGTAGTTTAGTTTATGTTAAGGACCTACTGGGCAGTAGTTGATGTTAAGGACCCTTTGGTCAGAAGTTGATGTTAAGGACCCTTTGGTCAGGAGTTGATGTTAAGGACCCTTTGGTCAGTTGTTGATGTTAAGAACCTACTGGTCAGTAGTTGATGTTAAGGGCCTACTGGTCAGTAGTTTAGTTTATGTTAAGGACCTACTGGGCAGTAGTTGATGTTAAGGACCTACTGGTCAGTAGTTGATGTTAAGGCCCTTCTGGTCAGTAGTTGATGTTAAGGACATACTGGTCAGTAGTTTAGTTTATGTTAAGGACCTACTGGGCAGTAGTTGATGTTAAGGACCCTTTGGTCATTATTTTATGTTAAGGACCTACTGGTCAGTAGTTTAGTTTATGTTAAGGACCTACTGGGCAGTAGTTGATGTTAAGGACCCTTTGGTCATTATTTTATGTTAAGGACCTACTGGTCAGTAGTTTATGTTAAGGCCCCTTTGGTCAGTAGTTGATGTTAAGCACCTACTGGTCAGTAGTTTATGTTAAGAACCTACTGGTCAGTAGTTTATGTTAAGCACCTACTGGTCAGTAGTTGATGTTAAGGGCCTACTGGTCAGTAGTTTAGTTTATGTTAAGGACCTACTGGTCAGTAGTTTAGTTTATGTTAAGGACCTACTGGGCAGTAGTTGATGTTAAGGACCCTTTGGTCATTATTTTATGTTAAGGACCTACTGGTCAGTAGTTTATGTTAAGCACCTACTGGTCAGTAGTTGATGTTAAGGGCCCTTTGGTCAGTAGTTGATTTTAAGGACCTTCTGGTCAGTAGTTGATGTTAAGGACCTACTGGTCAGTAGTTGATGTTAAGGCCCCTTTGGTCAGTAGTTTATGTTAAGGACCCTTTGGTCAGTAGTTTATTTTAAGGAAATACTGGTCAGCAGTTCATGTTAAGGACCCTTTGTTCAGTAGTTACTATGAGGCTCTACTGGTCAGTAGTTACTATGAGGCTCTACCGGTCAGTAGTTGGTGAGAAAGGCTGGGTCCACTGAGGCAAGCTTGGCTGACAAGAATGCATGGATACTAAACAGCAGTGTTTGTAGATTTGTGCACTCCACTTCCTGCAATTTGAAAGAAGAAAAGTATTCCTCAACCTGCACTTTTATTTCAAATTCATTTTGATATCAAGTGCTTAATCCAAAACAGATACCATATATGTTTATAATTTTACAGATGTAACATGCATACACAGCAAGTATATAATCCAAGGTATATAAGCTATTTATAATTTCTCTGATGTAACATGCACACACACCAAGTATATAATAATCCAAGAAAGTCAAGTGTTATTCAGAAAGTCTCAGGTATAACACCCCTCATTAGCTTACCAGGTAACATTTTCCAATAAAGTATTATTTTTCAACCAGATATGCTTACTGTAATAAAAGTTGAGATTTGTTTTTTATCAAGTTTGGAATCCCAAGAAATTTAAGCAAAGCAAACCTAGGGGAATAAATAAAATAAATAACTACAACTTTATACGGATTGGATTTTACAGCCCTATTATTATTTGATTGTAAAACTAACAGTCAATCTACAGACTTCAATATCTATACTTGTCATGCTAAAAGATTGACAAGAGAGCACAGAGGGATCTTGGCGCCCACCATTGTACATGACCGAGTTATGTGTACAGTAAATGCACCTTGTGGTAACTTTTGATCTAAACTTCATTCTGCTGTATATAAAAGACAACCTTTCATATGAGTTTCTCATTTCACATATTTACAAGTACAGTACTTAATGTGAAAGACATAGAAACGATCATTGCAATATCAGAAAGATCTGTTTAGTTCTTTCTGCAGCCATTTTGTTTTCATGATTACTCTTAAAATAAACAGGAACAAGTAAGGACCAAGGGGAACCTACATATCAAATTTGACATTGATCCCTGAAGTACTTTCTGAGAATTAGCAATAACTTTAACAATTAAAAACCAATTAGGCCACCTGTCAAAAAAAATGTTTATTCTATCAGTCACAAAAGTAAACATGCACAATAAATGACCAAGGGGAACGACAAAACAAATTCTAGAAAGAACCTTCCAGAACTTTCTGGGAAATAGCGATAACAAATATACTGTCAAAAAACAAGATGGCCTAACGTCAGCCATATTATTTATCCGATCAGTCTCAAAAGTGAACCAGCACAATAAAGACCAAGGGGAACCTACATATCAAATTTGAGAAAGATCCCTCCATCACTTCCTGCGATATAGCAATAACAAATATACTGTCAAAATCAAAGAATGCCGCTTGTCAGAAATTTTGCTCATACACAAGTACAGACCAAGGGGAACGTACATATCAAACTTGAGAAAGATCCATCTAGTACTTTCTGTGAAAGAGCGATAACAAACCTTCAAATCCAAGATGGCTGCCTGTCGACCATTTTGTTTATACGATCAGTGTCAAAAAGTGATATGCATAACTAGCCACCATGGGGAGCCTTCATGTGAAATTTGAGAAAGATCCCTCCAGTACATTATGAGAAATAGCACTAACAAACTTTAACTCTCAAATTTGAGATGGCTGGCTGTCGGCCATCTTGGTTTTCTGATCAGTATCAAAAAGCGATATGCATAACAAGGGATCATTGGGAACCTTCATGTGAAATTTGAGAAAGATCCCTCCAGTACTTTTTGAGAAATAGCACTAACAAACTTTAACTCTCAAATTTGAGATTGCTGGCTGTCGGCCATCTTGGTTTTCTGATCAGTATCAAAAAACGATATGCATAACAAGGGATCATTGGGAACCTTCATGTGAAATTTGAGAAAGATCCCTCCAGTACTTTTTGAGAAATAGCGCTAACAAACTTTAACTCTCAAATTCCAGATGGCTGCCTGTTCTCAAAAATTGAGATTAATAACTTCAGATCATGATGAACCTTCAAGTGAAATCTGAGAAAGATCCCTCCGGTACTTTCTGAAAAATAGCGCACAAGAATTGTTTAAGGACGTATGGAATGATGGAATGACAGACGGACGACGGTCCACCGACGCAGGGTGATTTGAATAGCCCACCATCTGTAGGTGGTGGGCTAATAAACAAGACTTACTCGAACTTCAACGCCACTCGTCTCGGTACTAAAATGTAACTTGAGTTTGGACTTGCCATCATCAGATGATCCCTTTAATCTTGAAAATTTGTAGACCCACTTGTAGCTCTGAAATAGACGAATTTGAATAATGATCAAGCGAGAAATTCATATGCTAGCTATTATGTATAAGAGATAAATTCATAAATGAAAAAAAAAGGTACAGTAATAAATCTATGCCGTTTTTACAGTAAGCAAGTAGTTAAGGGGGTTTCTACATAAACAGTAATGGTTCAATATCAAAATTGTTCTAGAAATAAAACTGCCATTAAATACTGCATTACCTTCGTATCACTGTCATATAAAGAAAATCCGGCCTCAAGGTCAAGGGTCAAACCTGACAAACGCCCACGCCATGTGCATCCAAAAGTTCGACTCTAAAACACAAATATCATTTAACACAAATTTTAGCATTTACTTTTATTGTTATTCATACAATTGATATATTTAGGGGAAAGTACGTTGTTTTGAGTGACTATACCGGAGATTAGAACATGAAATTTGGTTTGAACTCGAGACTGATAGGTCGAGAGTTTAAACCAAATTTCATGTTCTAATTGCCAGTATAGACACGAAAAACAACGTACTATCCCCATTCTAACACTCATTAACAAATACACTACACAAATATGTTTAGAAACATTGTATTTTTTCTAGCTACAAGTACGTAGTAAAGTACTCTGTGCTTGTGACAAGTCATTCTACAATAGACTGACCAATCAGAAAGAAGCTTTAAAAAGTTGATAATTTGTCCCTGCCCATACTGTCGACTGAGCATCAGTATAGTGTTGACGAGGCGGAATATTTGGATTGTTCGTGTTAGGAGTTTATACAACACATTTGGAATAACATTGACCAAATTCTTACATTTCCATGTCAGTATACATGCCAATCCGTGCATATTGACAAAATCAGTGATCATTTGTTTAGATCTGTGAAGAGTTTTGTGAAAAATTCATACGACACATGTGAAGTGTTTCCTTTGATTTTGGATCTAGGTAACTAGATGTCTTTACCCAGATGGAACGAACATTTCAGTAATAAACGGAGGTAGGAACAAGGAAAATTTAATATTTATTTTCAATTTATTCAACAAATACTTTTCATCTGTCCTTTCTGTTCTGTTGCCTGCTAGCCTTTTCAGCGGGATTTCGCTAAGAGGCGACCTTGACGCCCTATTGTTTTGGCTAGAAACAGTAGACATTCAGAACTTACAGCTTGTGATAAAATGGATGGAGAGACTGAAGCAGGTCTCAATAAATATTCAGAAGCTATGAACAGGAAAGGAAGACATGAAAGTGGTGTGTACCTTAAGTTTGACAATACTGTTGTGATTACACCTATACCAGGCCTTCTCCAGGTGTAATAGGTCACTGCGGCTATCAGTACTCAGGTAAAACTTCTCACCTGTCCCCGTCTGTATCGTACACGAATGCTGCCGGTCGTCCAGCAACTCTGGGTCCTAACATATACACAAATGTCAAGTAAGACATTGGTAACACATGTGTGGGTACAATTACACTACATACCTGAACACATATGGGCGTCTCAATTTCAAAACATACAGACACATATGGGCGTCTCAATTTCATTACATACCAACACACGTGGGTCTTAATTTCAGTAAAAAACATACCTACATATGTGTCTGAGTTTTACTACACATGTGACACCTACAACCTTGTGTCTCCCAACTATGCAAGTTTCAATTTAATTACATAAATATACAGCCCTAATCTGTGTTAAAATAACAAACAGGTTATAATTATAACATATTTAATTTGTTTTCCTAAAACCATAGTCAAGTTATATAAGTATGACAGACAAACAATGTCATGAACAGAATAATGTGTAGTATTTACATTGTAACTCATTCACCCCTGAAATTTCCTAATGAACTATTCCAACCTTTGAATTGGAAGAGTTCAAATGTGTCTTCAGGGGTGAATGAGTTAATATCTGATCTTTAACAAGATTTCCAGAGGGACAAATAATATACTAAATTACTAACGTATCATGACTTTTTAGGGAATGTTTTAACAAATTTGACCACTGTGACCCGTAAAGTAGGTCAAGGTCATTTATTTGATGAATATTGGTTCCCTCTCAGGCAAATATTATGAATCTGGGTCTTTCAGTTCTCAAAGATAAAGCAATTCACAGAAAAAATTGACAAACAGATGACAGACACTAGGCGATTGTTCTAAGCTCAGTCACATCTAAACACTCAGCTGCTTTCTATCCTAAATGCAACAAGACCTAAAATTCAAATTGCGTTATCTTTTAACAAGGGCACCGCAAAGCGGTACCTAATACGCCCGCCACATGTTGAATGACCAATTGTTTGTAAAGGGTTGAAATATGAATTATTTCTGAGTATTTAACCGTAAAGGAGAAATAATTTTTCAAACATGATAGATCAATAAGTGGAATACAACATCATGGAATGCCTGTAGTATTACATTATTGAAACCAAGGGGAATAACTCTATTGATTATAGTGAAATATTCAGGACGCATTACTCCAATGATTATGATGGGATACTAATTGTTGGCCATTGTATGGTAATAAATTAAACTTTCCTATGAAGTTTGAATTTAATCTGTTGAAAATTAGTGAAGATATAAAGAGGACACCATTTCGGAAAGTGGATAAAGGGCCCAAACTCGGTAAGTTACCGTCAGATATCGGTGGTTATCAAACTTGTCTAAGCTGTTATGGTCATGAACCTTCTCATGAAGTTTGAATTTAATCTGTTGAAAATTAATGGAGATATCGAGCCAACACCAAGTGCACACGCCCACCAACATGATTAATAGAATCTTTCACCCCCTTGGGGGTGAGATAGGAGAATCTCAACCCGAGGGGGGGGATTCTTAAGTTGCCAAACACGAGGCTTTGCCGAGTGTTTGGCAACTTAAAAATCTTTCCCCGAGGGTTGAGATTCCACTATCTCACCCGCAAGGGGGTGAATGATTCTTTTTCTCTTACCCTGTTCTCCCATTGTGTATCATATACACAATGTTATGATAACGTTACATGCTAAATTCAGGGTTGACGTGACGTTGATGGATTGTTGACGAGACGTCATGCCATTGTTATGAATAGGGGAATCCCCCCGTCTCAACCCTAGGGTGAGACAAGGAAATCTCACACCGATAAAAATGCGGATACACCTGTCCAGGGTAAGAGAAAACATAATACGTCCCGTCTTTGAAAGGGCGTATAAAATTGATGTTTTACTATCAATTTAGATCACTGATCACTCATGTTCAACATAACATTTCTGCCTTTTTTCTTTGATACAAAAATTTAGTCTCAGTGATGTCTAAATTCATCAGTGTGTATAGATTCAACTCACCTTTAACACTTTAAACATACATTCGTAGAGTTTGAATACCGTATCACATCGTACCCAATCTCGCGTCTGCATCTGTAACATACATAAAAAAATACCAAATTGTATCCTATAATCACAACTGTGTACCAGGAAACTTTTGCCGAGTCAAATATTCATCCTTTGCCAATACAATCCATGTTTGCCTCGTGTTTATTTCACCGTTCACGTGTAATTACTACACATCACGTGTAATTACTACACATCACATGTAATTACTACACATTACATGTAATTACTACACATTACATGTAATTACTTCACATTACATGTAATTACTTCACATTACATGTAATTACTACACATTACATGTAATTACTACACATCACATGTAATTACAACACATTACATGTAATTACTACACATTACATGTAATTACAACACATTACATGTTATTACTACACATTACATGTAATTACTACAGATTACATGTAATTACTACACATCACATGTAATTACTACACATTAATGTCGTTTACTACACATTAATGTCGTTTACTAAAATTTGCTGTCTTGATAAATTTGACCTAGTTAGGGAGGGCGAAAAAAGGTGAAAGTTTAACTGCGGAAAAAATGTTCTCAGTGCCCAGTATGTACAGGTTTTCTTCCTCCACTAGAATGTGATCCATGATACCTTTCATACCTTGTATTGACAACAGCTTTCCTCACTCCCGAGACAAAGAATCAGTTCTCTTATAACCAGTACAGGTTACCCGCTTCCTGACATATAACATAAGCGCATACAAGGCGTTGCCTTATCACTGTCATGTTTCCCACATTATTTGACAACTTGCCTAGCTATCCAAAACATATAAACATATATCCTTGGTGTTGATGCTCCATCACTTACCTACTTGTAGTTACCTCCCTTTGGCGGAGCTCTACTAGAATACCTTGTTATCCACCTCAGATTCCTCCACCGGTACATAGACCGACCACTACCCACAGGACGGTGGATCTCCTTACCACCTCGGATCACTACACCGATACACTGACCGACCACTACCCACAGGACGTTAGATCTCCTTACCACCTCGGATCCCTACACCGGTACATTAACCGACCACCACCCACAGGACGTTAGATCTCCTTACCACCTCGGATCCCTACACCGGTACATTGACCGACCACCACCCACAGGACGTTAGATCTCCTTACCACCTCGGATCACTACACCGGTACATTGACCGACCACCACCCACAGGACGTTAGATCTCCTTACCACCTCGGATC